TCACTCTACAGTCGATCTTCGAAATTGTTTTAAAAGGGCCCCCGTCAGTTGAAACCAACTTCATTAGATGTATTTTCGGACGCTGATTCCGGATCGCCCCGGCCCCATGACATGGTGTTAAAATGCTCCCTGACGAGATATTGGCGAAAAACTGGCTCGATCACATGATATGACCGTATAGTGTAATATGGTAAGCTAGTTGCAGCAGTATTTATATATATATTAGGCTTTTTAGATCTTTTAGAATATTCTAGTATAAGTGTTGAATAACCGTTAGGATTAGTATAAGATTAGATTAGATTAGTGGAATAGATTATGGATGGTTTTGCGGAGGAAGGCACGTGTTAGTCAGGTTAGCTAGTTAAGTTAGGTTATTGGACAGACTGGGCCGCGCGGTGTCACGTGGTTCGCCATGTGATGTCACGTGACCCAGAGCTGGTAGGTTTTGCTTGCCCCGTTAGCGGCAGTTCTTCGGGAAGCATTGAACGGTAAGGTTGTAAAAGTTACCGCTTCCGAGGACAGTGTAGCGTGGCCTTCGAGTCGCTAGTCTTGGTTTATTGATCTAATAGTAATATATTACCTTTCGAGACTTATTGTTCGAACCCCCTGTTTCCTTTGTTCTTACCTAACTTAGGACTCGATCAAGTCATTCGATCATTTAAAGTTGTACGGCACTCAGAAGCCTGTAAGAGTTAAAGTTGCAGAGCTAGAGATTTGCAGGTATCCGTGTACGATACTTCAGTATCGTGCCCGTGTATTTCTTAGTACCGTGTACGACACTTCTCTATCGTACCCTTGTACAGTTTAATTACCCGTGTACGCCACTTCGTTACCGTACCTTTGTGAGCAGGCAGAGTTTACCATCGGTACGCCCCGAGGGAGGACTGTTCTGGTGCCTACCTTATTTTACACTATCTGGAGGCCACGGTTGACAGCGGGTCGGCTGTGAGTATTGTGTCCACGGGTTTTGTGAGAGAACTGGATCTAGAGAGCGGAATCCGACCGTGTGGCATGACATTGAAGTCATTTTCTCAACACAAGATACAAATCAGGGGAGAGTTGGAGCTACAGGTAGTAGTTGCTGGCAATAGATTTGTACACACCTTCGTGGTAACTGATCAGTTAGACACAGAATTCTTGATTGGAGATGATTTCTTGAGGTCAAATAGGGTAACTCTGGACTACAGCAAGTGCAGACTGGTGCTGACTAATGGAGATAGTGTACCATTCACGGAGAAGCCGGAGAATGTCAAGCAGCAGATAAAAGTTAGATGTAGCAAGGTCACAATTATTCCTCCTAACACGGTGCAGTACATCAGGGGAAAATTACAGGCGAAAGGAGTGAATTTTAAAGGTGTGATTAAGCCACAGTACAAGCAAGGTTTCGGGGACACGGGCATTTCATTTGCTCATGCAGTTGTGCACTCTGATAAAAGATTGGTCCCGATAAAGTGTGTTAACTCTACTGATGAGCCAATAACGATCCGCAAGAACAAGATCGTCGCACTATTGAAACCTGTAGGCGGTAAGAAATTTATACACGGCGTGCAGAGGATCAGAGGTCACGATATCGGTGTTAGAGGGACTGCGATTGATAGACAAGCTCAGGAGAACAGGGGTCAGGCAGAAAAGTTCTGTGGTGAAAGATGGACTCAGAATGAATTGTTGGAGAGTCACGGGCTGAACATGATAAAGGCGACAATGTCTAATGCTGAGGAGGACAGACGAAGCAGAGTTCCATTCAGAAGGAGTTTTGCCGAAGCATCGTGCCAGACAGAGGTCAGTCTAGATGAGAGATCGGGAGGAGAGGAGTTTACTAGGTCTGTTGGTGTCAATACCATTCCGAGTCACAACGCTTCAGCCATTAGTGAGTTAGATAGTGTTAGTAACGTAGAATGTGATTATAACGCTTCAGCCGTTAGTGAATCCTTCAGTAATGTTACACGTGATCACAACGCTTCTTCCGTTAGTGAATCCTCTAGTAATGTTACACGTGATCACAACGCTTCTTCCGTTAGTGAATCCTCTAGTAATGTTACACGTGATCACAACGCTTCTTCCGTTAGTGAATCCTTCAGTAATGTTACACGTGATCACAACGCTTCTTCCGTTAGTGAATCCTCTAGTAATGTTACACGTGATCACAACGCTTCTTCCGTTAGTGAATCCTCTAGTAATGTTACACGTGATCACAACGCTTCTTCCGTTAGTGAATCCTTTAGATCTTTCTACACACCCGGGTGGAGCAGAGGGGTTGAGGAACCTACATCCGAGATAGAGGATAGTTTAAGTCCTGTCGAGCTGGGGGAGAGCAACAATACACTAGCTTACTCACCTGATGAACAGAGTACGCCTGTAGCCAGTGGAGTACGTTCTCTAAGAAATAGAGCTCAGTTAAAGAGGCCGGATTACTATAGACCGGTGTCGAAGATTAGTGTTGTTTTGAAAGGGGTGAAGGACTGTTTACTTGGTTTTTAGAGGATTGCTGGTCAAGGGATGCCAGTTAACTACCTGTTGCTCGGGCAGATACGACGATTGTTGTCATGTTTTGCAGACTACCTGGAACCTGTGGAAGGTGGTCATCGTTGCATTTCTTATCTCCCGCCGTGCTTAGGGTATGCCTGGTGTCCTTAATATCAGTTGATATGGTTGAGTGATGTCTGGTTTTTATTTTGAAGGGCTTGTTACCCCGGAGAGTGGAGAGTTTGCTAGAGGTGGAGTTAGTTGTTGAACCGTGGAGGAGAGTAGAGTGTAGAGTGTGGGTCACCTTAGTTCCGGTAGAGCATCGCTCCTGATGCCTAGGTTTGCCTTTAGTTGACTTTTTATCTTGTGCCGATAAGGTCTTAATCTAGATGATTGACTTCATATCTATGTATATGACAGTTTGAGGTGACTAGCAGGTTCGTACCTAAAGCGTACTGAGCATTTTAGATAAGTATGTTAGTACCTAAAGCGTACTGAGCATTTTAGATAGGTATGTTAGTACCTAAAGCGTACTGAGCATTTTAGTTAAGTTAGTTTGTACCTGAGCGTACAGAATTTCTTAGTTAGAGTATGTTCGTACCTAAGCGTACTGAGCATTTTAGTTAAGTTAGTTTGTACCTACGCGTACAGAATTTCTTAGTTAGAGTATGTTCGTACCTAAGCGTACTGAGCATTTTAGTTAAGTTAGTTTGTACCTAGGCGTACAGAATTTCTTAGTTAGAGTATGTTCGTACCTAAGCGTACTGAGCATTTTAGTTAAGTTAGTTTGTACCTACGCGTACAGAATTTCTTAGTTAGAGTATGTTCGTACCTAAGCGTACTGAGCATTTTAGTTAAGTTAGTTTGTACCTGAGCGTACAGAATTTCTTAGTTACAGTAGGTTCGTACCTAAAGCGTACTGAACATGATGAGGAGTAGAGGGTTCGTGACTGGGTGTGCCGAGTAGAGGAGTATTTTTCAGGCATCGATCACCAAGTGGAGAATGCAGGAGACGATACAGATACTACATCTACATTCTACATCAGTCAAATTAACATCAGAGACAGGAGCAGAGACAGCAGGAGGGACAATTTGGAAAGGACAGTTAGGACAATTTAGGAGAGACTAGAGGGTAGCAAGTGTGTATATATATTTGAAATTTTATGTTTGTATGACGTGATGTCGTGATAGTTATCACGGGATAATTTTAATATTTGTTGTTACGAGCATTTATTATATGTGCGTAATTGTTTATTTTGTAGTTGAAAGTTTTTTACACGTGCAGTGTATTACGTGAAATTTTTTGATTGTGTATGGAGTTGGACACGTGAGGTTAGCACGTGGGGTTTTAGGGTCAGTGTTAGTCACGTGAGGGTTTATACGTGCATTTTCTTTAGATTTTTTAGTGGTGTAGGTTTTAGTATTTTAGGATTTTAATAGATAGGGGGGGATTTAGTCGAATTTGTCAATACCTCCTGGAGATATTGACTAAATCGATTAAATTTTCCCGGGGGATATAGTGTAATATGGTAAGCTAGTTGCAGCAGTATTTATATATATATTAGGCTTTTTAGATCTTTTAGAATATTCTAGTATAAGTGTTGAATAACCGTTAGGATTAGTATAAGATTAGATTAGATTAGTGGAATAGATTATGGATGGTTTTGCGGAGGAAGGCACGTGTTAGTCAGGTTAGCTAGTTAAGTTAGGTTATTGGACAGACTGGGCCGCGCGGTGTCACGTGGTTCGCCATGTGATGTCACGTGACCCAGAGCTGGTAGGTTTTGCTTGCCCCGTTAGCGGCAGTTCTTCGGGAAGCATTGAACGGTAAGGTTGTAAAAGTTACCGCTTCCGAGGACAGTGTAGCGTGGCCTTCGAGTCGCTAGTCTTGGTTTATTGATCTAATAGTAATATATTACCTTTCGAGACTTATTGTTCGAACCCCCTGTTTCCTTTGTTCTTACCTAACTTAGGACTCGATCAAGTCATTCGATCATTTAAAGTTGTACGGCACTCAGAAGCCTGTAAGAGTTAAAGTTGCAGAGCTAGAGATTTGCAGGTATCCGTGTACGATACTTCAGTATCGTGCCCGTGTATTTCTTAGTACCGTGTACGACACTTCTCTATCGTACCCTTGTACAGTTTAATTACCCGTGTACGCCACTTCGTTACCGTACCTTTGTGAGCAGGCAGAGTTTACCATCGGTACGCCCCGAGGGAGGACTGTTCTGGTGCCTACCTTATTTTACACTACGTATAAGGAAGTTAGTCTAATTTCTCGTTAGGGTTACGTTAGGGTTTCAGCATATGCTTTTGTTAAGGATTGGGTTAGGGTTAGGGTTGGGATCAGATTAGAGGGTTAGGGTTGCGAATAGTCGTTCAGGACCAGCTAGAGAACGGGTTGAAAAAGTCACGTGACAGTCGAGTGTAGAGTGATTAATCATTCTTTTGGTGAGGCATATACATTATACATGATTAATGATATAGGGACGAATAGAAAAGTTAATATATACTGGCTAAATATCAGTATTTCTTACCTTCGGATTCCACACTTTGTACCGCAAATTTGTACTCTGTTACTCCTTTGTCAAAGCTAAAGTTTATCACCTCTTTGTTTTTTCCCCACGTATCTCTCCAAAACGCGGACCACCCCGTGCACACTGCGTTGGAAGGTTCGAAAGTGATCAGCAACTCGTCGTTGCAACTGATCTTCAAACCATTTGTTCCGTGGGTTTCTACTTTGAAGATCCTAAAGCCATCATCATCTTTAGCGGGCAAATCAACAGGAAGGTCTAAATTTGCTTCGGTTAAATGCGTACACTTAAGGAAACCATATTTTGGTGGATCTGAGAACGTTAATTTGAAACCCCCTGTCGAGTCACCGGCATTGTTTTCATAGTTGATTCTCAAATCTTTGCCATCTCCAATCGCCAGATCAGTCTTCATATAAACATCCGCTCCTTCGGGAATGTCAATATCTCCCATGAACGGTTTGTCCTTCCATTGATCTGAAACTGCGGTGTTTTTAAGACAAATGACAGTTAAAAATTGTACTTCTCAGTTCTCAGCCGAGTAGAATTAGAAAATATCACAAAATCTAGCGTCTATTACCTGGAATACTATTATCATCCCCATCTTCCACAGCAACAATTACTTCTGGAAGAGGACCCACCATCGGAATTACCGTTGCCTGAAATGAATTAGGGTTTGTTTGATTTGTCAAACAAAACAAAGTTAATAAACTAAATTAAAGCAATTTTGTGTACAGGTTCACAATGACGTGGTTCAAGGTGATGTTCAGTATAACTGACTGAACTAAAATTAATTCAATCTGACGTCAAATTTTAAATGTAGTTGCAGTTAGGTATTGATAACCAGATCTAGATCACAAACTGGTCGGTAGCGTTTCCTGAAAAGTTGGTAAATATCAGTATTTCTTACCTTCGGATTCCGTACTTGAGAATTTGTACTCCGTTACTCCTTTGTCAAAGCTAAAGTTTATCACCTCTTTGTTTTTTCCCCACGTATCTCTCCAAAACGCGGACCACCCCGTGCACACTGCGTTGGAAGGTTCGAAAGTGATCAGCAACTCGTCGTTGCAACTGATCTTCAAACCATTTGTTCCGTGGGTTTCTACTTTGAAGATCCTAAAGCCATCTGGTGGTGCTAATAATGCGAGAGGAGCCTTTGCATAAGTGTAAGTGGGCTCTCGTTTAAAGGTTTTCTGTGATTTGATTGAGTGATAGAATGAGAGTTTGGAAGAAGTTGATTTCTGATATTCCATCAGTTTTTGAATTGATTGGATAGAGCTTCGTGATGTTAGGAATTTCTATACTTTTTGCTGCATAGTGGTTTCGATACATGGACTGAAATTTGACTGGATTTTTGAGGGAGTCTTTTTAAAATTTGTTGATCACTTACAGGGTTGGCTTGGCTTTGTTGGTGCATTTGTATTGGGAATTCGGTGCGCGTTACGTGATCTAGTTTGTTAAATTTCATCTAGTTAAGGAGTGGTTTTATGTATCGATACCAGGTAAGTTTAGTGATTTTTGTTCTTTTACGGCTGCAGTTAACAAACGAATTCGACTTTGATTTTGTATTTAGCCTTTTGAAAGTCATTTATGTTAAGCGAATTGATTGATAAATCAGAGAATTCTCCTTGTTTCTCCCCATACCCTACATTTGATGCTTTACGATGGACTCCCAATGCCCATTTTAGGAATGAAATATGCACTCTTTCTTGCAGAGAGGCGCTGATATTTTTTTAAGTAAGTTAGTTAGCGGTTGCTTCTGCGAGTTAATCGTTTTGCAGAGAGATTTGTTGATCGTACTAGTGGGTGTCCAATTGGAGCACCATATAATTAAAATGGGCTTTGATGAGAGAGTCGAACAGTGTAAGGAGTGCTTTAAAAGATAACTTTGAAACGATGACACCCTTTTCAGGGCCAAAAATGCACGCATTGCTGAGGTTTTAAGGTTTGTTGAGCGATCAGCACTTGACACGATTGTATGAAGTTCAAATCCAAGGTAACAATAACTGTCAACAATTCAAGATTTAAGATCCGTTGAGTGTAAGTTTTATGTTTTGTACGTCCTGTTTTAACGGCTTTTTACCCAAAGTGACTGCTTGAGTTTTGAGTTATTGATTTCATTGCCACTTCCTTACAAAAATTACCGAGAATATTAGTTGATTGAAAATATGATCCATCGAACAAAATGATGAACATAGTTATAGTATTTGACATGAATTTTTAAAAATGATTTTGGACACGTTCCGCTTATAAGAAAAGGCAAGCTTCTGTCACTACTATTTTTGGGCACGGCGGTGAAAATTTCGGGAGTAGTGGATGATAAAAGACACCGTCGGTTTTATTACAGTCTAGAGGATTAGAAGTTAAGTTGAGGCTAACTCTCAAAGGCCTCCAGGAGAAACGTTTACGAGATGAAACAGCTGATCAGAGAAGATCTTGTATTTAATTTTCTAAATATTGAGTTTCAATTTTTGTATATAAGGAGATGAAAAAAATGCCCAAATACCATGATTTTAATTTGGAGTACGAAAATATGGCGGTTTCGGAAAAAAAAAAAATCTCTTATTTTGTTCCCAAATCTTTAGGTCCACCTGGAAATTTATGTCGAACCATAAATATGCCTGTTAGGTATAATGTATGATTATGAGATCGGAAGCGGTTTTGGTTCTGAGATTCAATGTTTATTTGTAAGATAACAGTCCATGTATGTAATGAAATCATATATATGGCAGATCGCCAAAACTAAAACCAATTTCTCGTGTTTGTCCCCGGATATCAATATCGAGATCATATCAAATACCTCGGAGAAGTTGGAGAAATGGAAGCGGAAAGTTCAAAAAGCTCTTGTCGGAATGTGAGGCTATACAGAAGAGAAATACCCCAAAACACACAGCAGAAGAACCAAACCATGTTGCAAAGTTTTCAACGGATGATTGCAAAGGGCAAGGTTGCGGCTCGCTCTGAGATGGATAACAAAACAACAATCACAAACCCTGGAAATCAGTCCCCCGAAGTTGTTCAAAAAAAACTGAATACCAAACATCCTGACGCAGCCCCACTAGCAACTGGAGTATCATAACGGTTAAAGGTGCCCATCGTCGAACCTGTCATCTTCGAAAAACATTCGACGCCGAACTGTTTACCAAAGCGCAAAAATACGAAGGAGGCGTGCGGGGGCCCAGTGGCCTTGACAGCGACACCTGGAGGAGGATATTGTGCTCAAAGTCGTTGGAAAATCCTCCTCAGACGCTTGCTTTGTGTTCAAATAAGCCAGGGCATGTTGTAGGAGGCTCTGCACCGAGAACGTTGACCCGCAGCCAATCGCACCCCTTGCGAAAACTGTAGACTTATACCTCTCGATAAGAACACAGGCATTCGTCCTTATAGGTATTGCGTGAGGTCTTGCGACGAATAATGGGAAAAAAACGGTGGTCGATGTTCCTGAAGCCGAAATCGTCAAACTCCGTCGGGGCCACTACAGCTTTCTGGGGTCAAGAGGGAGGATGCGAAGCCCGCCGCTGTCATGAAATGTCCGGACATATTTGCTGAAGTCGACTGCCAGGGAGTCTACTGGTGGACGCCAACGACCCGTTTAACAGCCCCAATCGCCAAGACAGCACTGGCACAACATCAGAACACCTGCCCCGAATTCGCCAGTACCTAATTAACACTACAGAAAACCCAATCGAAACTATTCCTCCGATTGGCAATCACTTATTATTAAAGAAGGAACAAAAAAGGGTGACAAACTGTGCGTCCGGTTTTTATTCCTTTTCCACTCTCATGTTCTACAAGGAGTTGTCACTATCGTCGGCTGTAAGAATATTGGTACGCCGACGACGGAGGAGCTGGCGGCTACTTCTTGGAGTCACTCAAAGCCTGGGGGGACAAATTACTGATAATTGGACCTCCCATAGGATACTTCCCAAAATGCCACAAAGACATGGGTTAGTTGTCAAACAAGAACACCTTAGACCAAGGCACGAGAGCTAATTTGATGGGACAGGAATCCAGATTGACTCAGGAGGGAACTGGGGAATAAATCAGGATGGGCAGAGTACCTCGCGCTTGCTAGGGACACAGTCATTTATCAAGCATATGTACAAGATAAGTGGCAAAATGGGTCACAGAGCTGAGGAGTTATGCAAGATCGCACTAACCGAACCCAGCTGGCGTTACTCAGGTATATCAACTGGATCAGCAAGAGGTGGGACATACGTGATGAGGGAACAATACCAAATATAGCGACCTGTTCGCCCCAATGGAGGCATGTATTCGCTCTAAGTTTTTACCAATAATAGTTGGAAACCATGCCTTTTCACGGACACGATAGGGACTTTACAGCCTACCCACAGATTCGGAGCCTAGCTGTATCCAATCCGTGGAAAATGTGCCCATAGAATATTGCCTCTCCAGGGAATGCCAACAACCTCTCACTGAGGCTTATCTTAACCAGAAACTCCACTCTCCCTGAGGAAACCAATGAAATGAACCAAAGATCAAACATGCGAGAAAAAATGGCATTTTAGTGAGAAAACCTCTTACAATATGTACAAGTGGCCTCTAATAAAGCAAAATGTTACTGACGACATCAGCAGAAACCTGGACCATTCTCTGCAGAAAGGAGCATCGTCATGGCTTACCGCCTTACCGCTGGAGGAATTCCACTACACGTTATCAAAGCAGGAATTTTCCGACGCGTCCTGATGAGATAAAAACACCCAAACAGAGACAGGACCGCAGATTATGTGCATGCTCTAAAGCGAACCACCATAGACCATTGCATATCCTGTGCTATGGGAGGATACAGGGATATGCGGCACAACCAGATCCGCGACTAGAGCCAGTCTCCTGGAGAGGTATCGCAAGACGTTCGGACAGAACCAAAATTGCAACCTTTACAGGAGAAACCTTCAAACTCAAGACGAACTAACACCGACAGATGCAAGGCCTGGACATCCGGCAAGGGGGGGCTGGAACACCGTGGACATGACGTTTTTCGACGTTCGAGTCTTTCATGACGGGAAATAAAAGCAAACAGTGGGGCCTCTTGGACAAAGTGTTTCAGAAACACGAGGCTGAAAAAAGAAGAAACGAACATATACAGCCCGGGTCCTGGAAGTGGAGAAAAGACATTTACACCCCTCGTTTTCTCCATAGCGGAAGCATGGGAAAGATGCTGAAGCTTTCCTTAAGAGAAAATCGCAACACTATATCAAAACAAAAGGGGAACACCCTATCGTGATACGATTTCTACATACGCCGAAAAAACTTCCGCTTCTCATCCTACCGCCACAACCCTCGCCGCCATCGAGGACACAGAGGAAGAGCAGTCAATGGTGCGGACGACACGAACAGCGGACAATCAACCCTCATACCAGGATGGACTAGTAATATGTGTTGGATCTTATCTTTATATTTTCAAATTGTATTGTATTTATAATTTTACACTTTGACCGTCGTTGGAGCTGGTACCTTTCGATATCATTGCAGCATATATAAAACTTTGGTCGTGGGAAAACGAGTTATAGAATATTTGTAGTTTTCACTTTCCACATAGGTCTCTATAAATTTAGCTTTTAAACAGTGTGTGTATGTGTGTGTTGTAGTTACACGTTATATCGTGTAACAAGTAGTAGTAGTTTGATGAGCTTACTCAGTCACTCTTCTCACGTGTTCATATCTAACACACGTGACCATGTGAACACGTGGACCACGACTGGATTAATATGGTTTAGTGGCGTAAGTAATCACGTGACCCATCCGTAGTTCTTTATTATTACACTTTACAGAGAGCAGTGCTAAATAATGATACGATTTACTTACTCTACCTTAGTTTAACGGTCAAGTTATAACGTTAAAAGAAAGTTAAGTAAAGTTTTTATATGTCTGTATTTGTACATTTTTATACATTGTATCATATATTTATCACTTATTTCCACTTACCACTCTTTCTTTTCAGGTATTCCTTCTCTCCTTCTTAATATTATGAGTTGTTGGTGTCAGTATGAAGACTTAAAATATGTCTCTTTTCTACACAGGTAAATAGTGAATTAATAACTATGGTATTTTCAGTATTACAATGTATAATATATATATAGTGAATAGGATATTATTCTACTATTGT